TTTAGCCACAGAGGAGCGTCTCGGTTAGCAAGGTCGATTTTACTGTTTTTAAACTACAATTCTCCATGATTTTCTCTCGTACATTTATATCTGCTCGATGCGTATCCAAATGTAAACAAATGACGTCACACATTATGAAATGGACAAAGTCCGGCAATTATTTTAAGACATTTTTATGTTTATCTATAAAAAGAACGTATAAACATAAAAATGTCTTAAAATAATTGTCGGTCCATTTCATAATGTGTGACGTCATTTGTTTACATTTGGATATGCATCGAGCAGATACGAATATGTATTGGAGGTACGCATATGATTTGAATTTACTCATAAGTACACATGCTGCAATTTTCTCAGCTGAATCCCAGGGGAATAGTCTATGTTCATATATCAGATTAAATTGCCGCTGGCTCATAATGTGTTCAAAATTCTAAAATAAATAAATAAATGCAACCAGAAACACATTGACACAAAAGTGCAAGACAAACAGCGTAGAAAAAAAGGCCATACTTTATTCAGAAATTTGAAACGTCCCAGCAAAATAGTTCTGAATGCTGGCCTTCATAGATTTCTCTTCTAAATTCAGAAATCCAAACCAGGCCCACCTAGACCCATGTCAACTTTACGAATAGCTAAATATGCCAGCCTTGCAGTTATCATAAAGAAATATGTAAATCAGTGTATGGCAATTTGCATTAATATGAGAGGAGCGGTAAACATTTCCTACGCGTAACGGCATTTCTTTATATACAGTTATTTTCAGGGAAACGACATCATACGCGTCTAATTTTCTAGCGGAACGTGAGCGGGGAGAAGGTCAAACAATAAAGGCCCTCGCTCTCTACTATTCTCTCTCTCTCTCTCTCTCTTTTTCTCTCTCTCTCACTCACCTACTCAAACTCAGACACAAACACACATAAGGGAAGCTGAAAAAATCTCGTATCGACCCACTTCTCGAAACTGTTACGAATTCATTAGATTTCTTTCTTAGAAAAGGCTTCTTAATTGGGACGAGAAATTTCCAACACAACCTTGTCTCACTCTCTCTCTCTCTCTCTTTTTATATTTTATATATATATATATATATATATATATATATATATATATATATATAATGTGTACGAAGGGCTACAAAAAAGTATGAAATAGCTTTCTTCTGGATACATACACTCAGATCCGCACAGAAATATTATTTATATATTTTACACACACACACACACACACACACACACACATATATATATATATATATATATATATATATATATATATATATATATATATATATACCTTCCTTAGATCAAGATACAGCTTAGTAAAAAATATCCAAATGTTAAAAATTTTTGTCTTTATTTTTCGTTCGTAATTAAAGAAACCATACGAAGTTTAGAATCAAACATAGTAGATATTCCTTGTCTGTTATATTTAACCATATATATATATATATATATATATATATATATATATATATATATATATATATATATATGTATGTATATATACGAATTTTTATTTGGCTCAATACACACACACACGAACATGAGACTTTTACGGCTTATCAACCTTTTTTGTCGTTTATTTAAAGCCAGAAAATAGTTTTACATTGAAAGAATTTTTATTTTGTATGGAAGATAATAATTGTTTAGTGATACAAATCTTATTAATTAATCCATAACTGGGGGAGAAGTGTCTGATTCATAGCTTTCCCAAATGTATTTGCGCGTAAGTAAATATACCGTACACAACAGGAATTGGAATCGCTTTTTAAGGCTTATTAACCTTTGCTGGTTATTTAAAGATTAAAAAAAAATTGTATGATTTTTTTTAGAGATAATAATGATTTATTATACAAGTCTTGCTAATTAACCCATAGCTGGGGAAAAGTGGTGGATTTATACATTTCATAGGGTATCTGCGCATATATATATATAAATATAATTACCAGACTTGAATTGGAACTCGGTTCTCTGATTTCCATTTCCAAGCCATTATCTATTACACCACCCGCACATCTAAGCTTACAGCACCTGATATTCTCAAGCAGCCACCAACTAGGTACTGACTAGCTTCAACGTTGCTTAACTTCGGAGACCGGTGTTTCAAC